TCTCTCTCGATCTCAGGTCTCCTCTCTCTCTCTCATCTGCTCTCCTCCCTCTCCATCTCCTTCTCTCTCTCTCTCGCTCTCTTCCTCTCGGCTCTCACGCTCTCTCTCTCTCGCTCTCTTATCTCTCGTCTCTTTTCTCTTTCTTACCCCCCCCCCCTCTTCCTTTCTCTTTACTCCTCCTGTCCCTCCTTCTCTCTCTCTTTCTCTACTTGCTTTCTCTCTCTCTCTCTCTCTCTCTCTCTCTGCTCGCATCTTCGTTCTCTATCTCTCTGCAATCTTCTCTCTCTCTCTTCTCTCCTCGTACTCTCTCCACATCCAATCTTCATTCATCTTTCGTGCTTTCATCTCTCTCGATGTCTGTCGCCTCATCTAGGCTGCCCAAGCACATGACAGCACACACACTACTAGCATATGCCAACAATTCACACTAAACTAGCAAGAGCAGCAGGCAGCACACACACAGTCGGGCTATGTCCAGCTACTTGCGCAGTCTCTCCTCTCTTCATCCCCCTGCATTTCTCTGTCTCTCTTCCTCTCTCTTCACTCCTTTCTATCGCTCTCCCTCTCTCACCTACCTCCTTCCATCCCCTCTCCTCTTATTTATTCCTTCCTCCCACACACAGCCAGTGTTTTTGCAGCACACACAACAACATGCTCGCCCCCCCACCACACACATCTCACTCACTCTCACAGCACACACAATCCACACACAGCCACACAACCACCACACAATCACACACCACACCACACGAGCTTTTTTTCCCCCCGGCCCAACATTGTACGGTTTACGTCATATATCACACATCAGCACACATACTTTCCCGGCCAAAAGCGAGAAGCAAGCAGAGGAAGTAGGAGGAGGAGGAGGAGGGAGCGTACGGTGCCCCCCTTGGGCGCCGGCTCATTAGGTATTTACACAGCACACACACACCATCACTGTAGAATCGACATAAAGTACATCACCAGAAACACCGCGGAGGCGGATCCATCCACATCTGATTGCTCCGATGGCACACAACAGGCTCATCGGAGGGCTGTGTCGTTGGCTGGGCCACTGCGTGTCTTTGCGGGCAGAATCATATTGGACGTAAGTGGAGGTTCGTTTCTTGTCTCCGTGGTTCTGTCCCTGTTCTACCATGCACTCGACACCACATAAGCACTCTATAATATCTACATATATCCCACATAAACACTCACATATCAATTTGTACAGCACACAATGTGCAGCTCGCTATGTACACGCCTACAATCCTGATGCTATCACTAGTCCACGTATGTCTAATGTCTCTTTATCTATTTTTGATCAAGCATTATCGTTCATATCTATTTATCTTTGTCTGTCTGTTTGTCTGTCGTGTCTGTCTTGTCTGTCTGTCTGTCTGTCTGTCGTGTCTGTCTTTGTCTCACTCACCATCATCTACATCGTCTCTTCCTCATCTCTCATGCACCAACTACTCTCCTCGCTCCTCACTGTCATCGTCGTCTGCTCTCTCTTCTCTACTCATTCATCTCTACGACAGGGATATCACTTCTATCTGCATCGGTTAATCTCTCTGCTCCTCGAACAATATATCCTCTCCTTCCAAACGCAAAGCGTATACCAAACACGCCACTCTCACTAGTCAACAAGCGGGCGCTTGGTTTGTGATGGGAGTGTGAACAGCCATATACGATACGAAAATTCAGCTACATA